GGTATACCCAGAACTGTAGTCTTCGGTTGGGTACTGATAATGTGTCTCCAACAATTGAATTGCTTAATCATAGGATATTTGTAAACTATAAGAGAGTGGAACCAGTTAATATATGAATTTTGTATTTGTGGAGTTCTTGCCAAGAAAATTTATTGCCTGTTCCAAAGACAAATAGGTTTTACACTGTTCTGAGATTAAAGTAGTAGAGTGTGAAGGCTACCTTCTTGTTGACTTTGGTGAAGAAGCTGATTGACTGTTGGTAATTTGCAATTTTGAATAGGCATGGGAGAAACAGAGCTTGATGTTGTATTTTTTTGTTAGCTGTGATGTTTTTGTTATCCAGGTTGTTTTGAAATGAAAAGGGTCACATAAGGGACATGACCAGATTGTACTTGTTACTTGTATGGACTTTATTTCTTCCCTTGTATGGGAAGAGGTCTTGGGATTAGTGAGCTTGATTACTAACAGTTTGATAGTTGTAAGATCTCTTCTATTTTTAAGTTTGGTAATATTGAGGCCTGCATGTAAGAAAAGAATTTTGTCCAAAATAGTTCATTTTACTCCTATTTTATTTTTGATTGCTTTGTTTATTTTTGACTGCAGGCTGTTGTGGTTTGTGTCAGTTAGAGTAGTGGCTTGTATGGCATAGTCTAGTTGTGCTGGAATTATTCAGTGAGAATCTTGTCTTGTGATCAATTCATTCCAGCCTTTTTGACTTGAAATTGCCTTGTTGAAATTGCTGATTTTTTTTACAAGTTTTGATTTGGTGGAAGTGAAAGTTGATTTGCCAGAGATATATATTCCCAGGTACTGGATTGCTTCAAGACAAGACTTGGCTTGGATGGGTTCATCTTCTACACATAATACTTGGTTTTAGTATGTGTTTTTTGTGCTAAGATTATTGATTAATTCAGTTTTTTTCTTGTTGCATTTTATGGAATTGATCTTTAAGAATGAGGAGAAAATGTCTGTGGCATCTTGAAGAGAGCTAAGAGAACTGCTGAGTATGGTGACATCATCCATATAGGCAAGTATTTTTGATTTTGGTGATGTGTTGTTAATGACTTGAGTGACTATTGGATCATAAAAAATGGTCTAAAGAAGAGGGGCTAATGTTTTATCCTAGTTGATGCCATTGTTAGTATAGAGAGGGTTGATCAGTTTGTAATGCAAGATAATTTAGAGCTCTCTGTTGTTAAGCAAATTTAAGACAAGCAAGATGATTTGGGAAGACAGCTTTATCCTTTTCATAGTTGCATCCAGGCTGTTAAGGTTAACCAAGTTAAATGCTTTGGATATGTCGAAAGAGAATATCCATATTTTTTTTCCAGATTGTTGGCAATTTCTAGTTCAGAAGTAATTATTGAAATTGGTTCAATAGTACTTTGGTTTTTGAAACTAGCAAAGTTGAAACCTGAGAGGATCTTTTTCTTGTCAATTATGTTGAAGACTCGTTTGTTAATGATTTTGGTAAAAATTTTCCAACTAGTTTCAATTAGTGAGATAGGATGAGTATTTGCTAGGTTATGTGACCATATTATTTTTTTTGGCAGTAGTGTAATAGCTGACTGTTTCCAATGCTTTGGTGGGAGAAATGTGAAAAGCACCTTATTAAATAATTTTTTAATTTGTTGTTTCACTTCTGTATCAAGATTAATCTATGCCTTATACAGAATACAGGTGAATCTTGATGCTTTTTGCTTCGGTAGGCTGCTGAGAACTTCATCGATCTCCGGGAGTGAAATTTCATCACATGTTGTATTAAATGTGTTGTCAGGAATTGAGCTCATTGGAATATATTGATTTTGCCAAGTTTGATCAATGTTGAAGGGTTTTGGTTTGAGGATTTTTTTGAAGTGGTTTGTGAGGATTTCAATTAGTTTGTCAAGATCATCATGGAGTTTGTCTCCTTCAGCGAGGATTGAGAGATCTAGCGATAGTTTTAGGTTGCCAAGAGCTTTTTTGAGAGCATGTTTGGGCTTCTGCCAGAATGTGGTATAATTCTCTTTGATATCTTTTTGAAGTTCGAGTATGATGGTTTCATTTGATTTAGCCACATTTTTGTTAATTAAGATTTTTATTACTCTTTTGAGTAACTTTGGAGAGGAAGCTGTGTCAGAAATCTTTTTGTGTGTTGCTAGTGCTGTGTGGTGGAGTTTTAGTATTGGAGACTTTTGTTTTCTTAGAACTTTAATATTCTTTTACTAACTTAATAGCCATATTATAGTGTCTTAGAGGGTTCTTGTTCTGTTTGGGATTTGTTTTTTTTTTTAGGGATGTTGTTATTCAAGGCTTTTTTGACAGTATCATTGAGGCTTTCCTATGAGTGATTTTGATTGGTGAGACAGGTGACTTCAATATCCTTCTGCATTGCTTGAATTTGTTCCTTAGAGGCTTTATTAAAATGATACGTGTTTGTGGTGAATGAAATTCTATTGGGTCTATATTTAAACCATTCGATAATAATAGTTACTTGCATATGATCAGTAGAAATGACTTTCTGCTTGGCAACTTTATAGCTTAAGATCTTGCTAGCTAGGTCATGTGAGATCCAAATTTGATTAATTCTGAAAGCACTTGTGTTGGTGGTGTGAGTGAATATGTTTTCCTTATTGGTGACCTTTGCTACATCTATAAATCTGTTAAGAAATTTGTATATGGCTTATTTGTGTGATGTGGTAGGAGCATTAATAGAGGGGGAATTGAGAAAGTAAGAGTTGAAGTCTCCTGCCAAGATAATATGTTTTTTTTGCTGTTCTTTTATGAAATTTTTTAAGAAGTAACTGCATATTTTCTTGATGATCTTTCATGTGGCAGGTAGCAAGAGATTATTATAATATCAACTTTTGACTTGAATTTGAGATGAATGGCACACCAGAATTCGTTTTGAGCAAATGTGTTGAAGATGTGATTGCTAATAGACTTTGTAGTAATGATACAGGTCCCATTGCTTGTGCTGATTAATGATACACTTGAGATGATTGTACAATTATTAAGCTTTTTTGGAAGTGAGTTTCCTGAGGATGCTTTTGTTTCAGAACAGCAGAGAATACTTCTGTCATTTGTAATTGCTTTGCTGAGTTCACTATACTTGCCTCTTTGAGAAAGGTTTTGGACATTGAGAGTGGATATAGTAATTAGATTTCTTAATGATATTCTTGGGGTAATTTGAGGAGATGATAGTTGGTGAGATATATTTGAAGTATTATTAGGGGCAATACTTGTTGTCGAGTAACTGATTAAGGAAGGTTGAGAGTTAAGCCAGTTTGCAGTCATCATTAAATAAGTTTGGAGAGAAAAGTCATCTTTTGTTCAGGTGACTTGGGTTTGATTATAAATTCAGGTGGAAGTTTGTTGAAGTGAAAGATTTTGTTTAAGGCTTTGATATTGTCCTTCAAATGAAGGTTGTCTGTGAGGAGTAATGCAAGGTCAGCATTAATTTCAATGAGATGTTTGTTGGCATTAACAAGGTTTGGTAATTCTGGGAGAAGTGGGATAATCTATTCTCTCAGAATCTCTCATATGTATTTGTTTTTAATTTTTGTAATGGTTTGTTTAAAGTTGGTATATCTCTGTTCATTTGCTCTTTGGAGATATTAAGTTCTATTTCAACAATGTTAAAGTCATCAGAGAGTTTGGATTTGTTTGATTGAACCAAATTGTCACTAATCCATTCAGATCCTAGAGAAAGCTTTACGAAGAATTTTTGTTAGAGATCCTTGATCAAGTTATCAGCCTCTTCCTGAGTAGTAACTGGTAGAGGAATCGAGTTATTTTCATTATACCAATAAGAGAGAGGAAGTGGATGTTTTACTTTGATATAGTCGAGTGGAAGATGATTAATAGTGTAGTTGTTATCTTTGAGAAGTTGTAATCCTTTCTTGAAATCCTTGATACTATTGTCCACAAGAAGTGTTTGGCGAGGTATAAAGATAAGTCCTTGTATGTGAGTAAAAAATGAAGTTTTAATGAAGAAAGATTAAAGTAAGAATCAGGGAGTTTGCTTGGAACGTAATAAAATTCTCTTGGTTTATTGACACAAAATTTAAGATCTGCTAGTTTGTATTTCTTCATAAGTGGGAACAGATAGTTTATTTCGTTGTTAAGATTAATTGGATCAGCTGAAAGGTCAGGTCTTTTTGCAAAGTAGAAGATAGGTAGGAGATCGAAGTTGTAGAAGACTCTGAGGCTACTTGCAACTTCACTGGTGTCACTGGCTTTTGTGATTAGAATGGCTTTAGGTAATCTAACAATTATTTTATAGGAATATCCTTTGGATTCTCAATAAGTTCAAGTAGGTTTTTTTGAACCATTGCTTCACAGGTTTGATATAGTTCCTGATAATCCACTTTTTCCAAAGTTGGGTCCACAAAGAAGTTAAAGCCATATTCTAACAATTGAGCTACTTGCCAGTATTCAAGAAGAGTAAGATCTGTTGATCTAAGATAAGCGATAAAAAGAGCTTTGTTAATTAGTTTTTTAATTTTGTTTTTGATTAATCTTGTGATATATTCCAGGTTATTAGCTTTGTAATAATTGGAATGAAATTTCTTCTCAATGGACTTATATTCTTTCTGGTGTTGTTCTTTGATTAGTTCATTCTTGGTGAATGTTCTAAAGAAATTGTGGTCCCTGTGCTTTATTTTGGAAAAGATGTCTTTTAAAATTATTTTGGAAGACCCAGTTAAATCGGCTTTGATTTTTAGAAACAGGTCAACTATGGCTTTAGGGGTCCTGTCGCATTTGTTAAATTTTTCACATAGTTCTAAAAATTTTTTCTGCTTGTCAGGAGTTTATTATCTCTGATGTTGTTTGCAGTGAGTGTTGTGACTTGTGTGGATTTAAGAAACATATTGGTTTCATCTGCCCATAAGTTAGGGAGAAATTCCAAGGTTTCAACTGATTGGGTGGGGAAAGGGTGTTCATCAATTTCCATATTAGAGCTGGTTTGGATCTGGTGGCATTTGCCCAGATCCAGGTCACTTTTTGGGAGATATGGTATGGCAGAGCCAGCCAGATTGATCGAGTATTATCATGTAATGGTTAAAAAAGTGACAAATCCAAGACAAAAATGTAGATCTTTTTATGAAAAGAATCAGAAACAATCATAAAAAAAAAATTGAAATTCTAATATAGTGCCGATACTAAGACACCGGATGCTCCACAAGGCCGAATTTAGATGTTTTGGTCCAAAGTGATCTACATTTTGTCTCAAAGATTGGCACATTATGCTTCTACAGAGCCAATGTCGATCACTACAGGGCCGATGCCGATCACTGGACGTGTCAATCTTTGAGACAAAATGTAGATCACTTTTTGGCCTTGTAGCCATAATTTAGGCCATGAAAAAATCTAGAAAATTTTGTAATTCTGGCTGGGAAAAGTGCCGGGTCCTCTACAGGGCCAATGATAAAGGGATCTACATTTTGTCTCAAAGATCGGTGACATATTTTTCGGGGGTTTCGAAATCGTAATTTTGGCTGAGAATGAAATTATAGGTGGTTTACAGGGCCAAGGTTGCGAATTTTTTAAGATAAAATGTGTAGTGAGTTTTCTGAATAGGATATGTGTGATGGTTAAAATCATCTATTCTAAATGCTTGATATCTTCGTGAGGAGTCATTCAAATTTTGCAGAGTGATCATCTTTAGGTGCATCAAGATTTCGGCTTTCAGAAAATATATGGTTTATCATAATGGAAGATGTCTTGTTTGATCGGAATGAATGAAAGAGTGGATGAAAATTGAGAAAAAGTGACATTTTCGTCGTGATCAAGTTTGGATGACCCACACGATCTCGATGAATTTTAAGTCAATTATTTGCGGACAACTATCTTCGAAAAGCTTGAGACCACAAAACATTTTTTGTCAACATGAAGCTTAGGGTAAAATCAATATTCGTGGAGATATTCAATGGTTTGTAAATTTCTTCTTGCTTCTTGAAAGTGATTATTCTACTAGGTGAGGGTTCAATTCAATTGAAAACTATTCAAATTGGGTGAAATTTCTTTTGTTTGATTGATCGAAACTTCTAGTTTTTTTCTCTCAACATGAAACTTAGTGTGAAAATGCTTCCCGGATGAGTGAGATGAGATATTAGAAATTGATCATAATGAGAATCACATGAATAAGATGAAAATATATGTGATAAAATATAAGAGGTGCTTGATATCTTCACGAGGAATCATTCAAATTTTACAAGGTGATCATCTTTAGGTGATTCTAGATCTTGACTTTCAGAAAATATATAGTTTGTCATAATGGAAGATGCCTTGTTCAATTGGAATGGATGAAAGAATAAATGAAGATTAAAAGAAAGTAATGTTTTCGTCGTGATCAAGTTTGGATGACCTACACTATCTCGATGAATTTTGAGTCAATTATTTGTGGACAATCATCTTTGGAAAGCTTGAGACCTCGAAAATTTTTTTGTCAACATAAAGCTTAGGATGAAAATCGATATATGTGGAGATATTCGATGATTTGTGAATTTCTCCTTGCTTCTTAAAAGTGATCGTCCTATAGGATGGGAGTTCAATTCGATCGAGAACCATCCAAATCGAATGAAATTTTTTTTGTTTGATTGATTGAGACCTCTAGTTTTTTTCTTTCAACATGAAGATTAGTATGAAAATGCTCTCGAATGAGTGAAATAAAATATTGAAGATTGATCATGATAAGAATCATATGAACAAGATGAAAATGTATGTGATGGAATATGGGAGATGATTATTTTTGAATAAAATTCAAATATTCTCATCTCTTTTAGGTTATGATATTTGATCCACATTATTTGTGAAAATTTTATCTATTTTTGTGATATTTTGGAAGTTTAACCAATAAGTGATTGATTTTGATTATAGGAAGATCATATGTAAAGAAACAATCCAATTAGCCATTGGCCTTAGTTTTTTACAAGATCTTACTTATTATTTATAAAAGTATAATATCACATGCACACATCTTACATCAAAAATATAAATATATCAACTTTTTATTTTATTTTTTTCAAAAATGAAAACATATCTATCCGATTGGTTCAATGGTAAATATAATCACCAGGGTAATCTTTATAATCAAACTCACATCTTTAAAGAAAATAAGATTCTCTATCTTGAGGTTCAATTAACTCAAGGAAAAACAATGTTCTGTAATATTAAAGATTATAAGATTATACATTCTTAAATTTGGTGTACAAGTAAAAATAAAAATAGATATGCAATATATACAAAAGAAAAAAAAAAGGTCATGATCACTTCTATGGTTCCAGCTGATCTTCTTTCCAATGTTCCTTCAAGTTCCTGAATAATATTTAGTCCTATAATTTAAATATTGGTAAGTTTGTGTCATTATCATCAAGATATGTTAAAGAACATTCACAATAATATTGTGGTCTCAATGTGCTTTCAATTTAACATATCATATAGTAGTATTCACCAATGTAATTATAACCCAGTCCATATTACAAACCCCACGCTGATATACAGGTTCACATATTTGGGGTTCCTATGTGTGGCAGCGTAACTTTGAACCATATAATAACTTAACAAACTTAATAAATAACCAGCTTACCTATTTTTATTGTAATCCAGTTTTTTACCTGTATCATGAATGGTCTTCCTATTATTTTACCTTCAAGATCTATTCCATTATTTCTTTTTCTTCCAACTTTTCTTGATTCAACATTCATTTGTTAAAGTTCATCATATATTTGATTTTCGAGAAAATTTCCTTTAGCAATAAGTGAAAATATCTTGTATCAAATAATTCAAATGCTTAATATCTTCGCAAGGAGTTCTTTTAATTTTACAGAGTAATTATTTTTAAATGCATCAAGATCTTAGCTTTCAGAAAATATATGATTTGTCATAATGGAATATGCCATGTTTGATTGGAATGGGTGAAAAAGTAGATAAAAATTGAAAGAAAGTGATGTTTTTGTCATGATCAAGTTTAGATGACCCACACAATCTTGATGAATTTTGAGTCAATTATTTGAAAAAAACTATTTGCGGAAAGCTTGAGACCTCTAAAATTTTTTTGTCAATATAAAGATTATAGTGAAAATCGATATCTGTGGAGATATTTGATGGTTTGTAAATTTCTCCTTACTTTTCAAAAGTGATTATCTTACAAGATAGAATCTAATTCGATCAAGAATCATCTAAATAATGTGAAATTTTTTTTATTTGAACAATCAAGACTTCTAGTTTTTTTCTCTAAACATGAAGCTTAGTGTGAAAATGCTTTCCAGATGAGTGAGATAAAATATTGAAGATTGATCATGATGAGAATCACATGAACAAGATAAAAATATATGTGATAAAATATAGAAGGTGCTTGATATCTTCACAAGGAATCATTCAAATTTTACAATATGATTATCTTTAGATGCTTCTAGATCTTGACTTTCAGAAAATATATGGTTTGTCATAATGGAAGATGCTCTGTTCAATTGGAATGGGTGAAAGAGTAGATGAAAATTGAAAAAAAGTGACGTTTTCATCGTGATCAAGTTTGGATGACCCATGTTATCTCGATGAATTTTGAGTCAATCATTTGCAAAAAACTATCTTTGGAAAGCTTGAGACCACAAGACTTTTTTGTCAACATGAAGCTTAGAGTGAAAATCGATATCCGTGGAAATATCCAATAGTTTGTGAATTTATACTTGCTATTTTGAAAGTGATTGTCTTACAAGGTGGGGGTCCAATTCGATCAAAAACCATCCAAATCGGGTGAAATTTTTTTTTCTGATCGATAAAGATCTCTAGTTTTCTTCTTTAAACATGAAGCTTAGTGTGAAAATGCTTCCTAGGTGAGTGATATAAAATATTAGAGATTGATCATGATGTAAATAATGTAAATAAAATAAAAATATGTATGATAGAAGTAAAAAGATTCAGAATTATAAATAATGATAACTTTATTATGATAATTTATTAATGAAAAACTTGTGAAACAAGTTTTCACAATATCATGTCACACAGAAATGTGATTTTATTTAGAGTTAGAATGGGTCAGGAGTGTAGAGGTAGTATATGAAAGAACTTTAAAAAGTGCAGCGACTCTTGTATCATTGATGCGAGATGTCCCCTTGAGAGGAACTTTAAGGAAGTGATATATTAAAAAATAAATATAAATAAATAAGCTTATTATAAAATAATTCAAGAAAAAATAAAGAGAACACTTGAATGATATAACTATTGTTGGGCCGGAAAACGGCGAGTCAGTCGCTTCACCGGTCCAAAGTTTGTGTTACTAAAGGTAAGTTGAGGCATGTATGATTGATTTAGCCAGGCAGTACTAATTAACTTCTCTTCTTTTCTTTCCCGGGACTCGTTTCCTTCCTGATACCCCGGGCTATGTCCTTCTAGCAGCGGTTATTCTTCTTTAAACAGTGTGTACTCAAAAAGGTAAGTTGTTAATTATTACTTTCTCTTTATGGCAACTCAAAGTAACTATCATTTCTCTTTTAAT